GTTGGTGCCGGAGGTCCGAGCGCGCCCCCTGGCGGCGGCCGAGCGCTGAGAATGCCGAGCGGGGGTGGGGCGCCGGGACCCTTCCCTGCCTGGCGAGGCCCTCTCAGCCGGTCGCCTCCCCTCGCGGCGTCGGTCCCCGAGGCTAGGGGTCCTGTGCTCCTCCTCTCTGTATCTCCTTACAAGGTGCAGGATTCATCCAGTTTTGAAGAAAGGAAGGTTCTCATAGGAATTCCGAACATGCGATCCCTGATTGAAAGTTTATTGTACTTAGACAAGGCTTGTGTGCTGGAAAAGAAAAGCTAAGATACATGAGTGTCTTCTACGTGCTGTTCATGGAATTAAGCCCTTAAAGAGTTGTTTTACATTTTTTTTCTAATTATGAGGATATGTTTTCCATTGATTTTAGAGAGAATGGAGGGGGGAGAGAGACAGAGACAGACCTAGAGGGAGGAACGTGGATGTGACAGAGACACGTGGATTGGTTGCCTCCCTCAAGCGCCCTGACCCGGGGCAAGGATGGACCTGCGACCCAGGTAGTGCCCTGACCGGGCATCCAACCTGAGATTCCCGGCGGGCGGGCCGACGCTTTACCCACTGAGCAACGCTCGCCAGGGCTGTTTCAGTTTTTAAAAACTTAAGAAGTACTGTTACTACCCTTACATGTTATCCTAATTTTATTTATTTAAAATTTTTATCAAATTTATTGGGGTAACAATGGTTAATTATCCCGATTTCATAATGAAAGAGCAGGAGGCCCACTTAACAATAGCCGCCATAAATATTTTGGTGAAAATTCCTTCCAGTATTTTTCCATATTTTTTCTTTATAAGAATGATATCAAGTGGTTTGTCTCTCTAGACTTTTTCTCACTGATATTATGAACTTTATTCAAGTCGAAAAATCTCATTTGACTTTCAGCTGGGGAATAGTATTTTATCATAATTTGCCTACGCTTTTATTACTGCAAGTCCAAGTAATTTACATTTTAATTTTTTCTATTCAATATTGTGATGGTTTAATAATATCAAAGTATTAAAAATTATTGCTTTTCACAAAATTCTTTTTAAGAAAAGTAATAGTTTAGAAATTACATTTTCTAGTACTAATGTGAATTGGTGGTGGAAAACAGGAACTTTAAAGTGTAAGCTAAAACCCAGTGAAAATAGCAAGAACAGAAGCTTCAAAGTTGCTTGCTGACAGGGTATAGACCTACACTGAATTTCAAAGCAAAGATGTGTGGCCCCTGAGAATGAAGACGCCTACCAAGAAAGGGCTCCTGGTGGCTAACTGGGTTCAAATAAACAAACAAAAACAAAAACAGAGCCTAGCGGCTGTTTCTAACAGGGGCCCCTCAGGCAGGCCAGCTGGGGGGCTGGGGCTGCACTGAACCTGCCTCCTGCACCCAACTACCTGCCTGGGAGCGTGTTCCCGCCCTCTGAACCAACCTTTACAAAGGAGTTCCCAAGGCCTAGTTCAGCGGATAGGACTGACAGTTCCCTGTCCAATCAGAGCTCGGCAGCTATATTCCTGACCAATCAGAGCACTATTTTGACCAACCAGAACAGTACTTGTTGGACCAATCAAACTGTGAGAACTTGGAGTCCTTATCTGCGTGAGGATGGACCAGATCCCGGGCTGGGAGCGGAGTCCTTCGTAAGTCGGATGCCCCCTGGCCTGGGAAACGCGCTTTCCCTTCCCCGGAACGCTGTTCCCTGTGCTGGAGCTGACGGCGTCTCCTGGAGCATCTCCCAGGGCGGCCTCCCCGCCACAGCTGTGCGACTTCATAGTTGGGTTGTAACACCATCGAGCTGTTCCACAGCTGACTTGTGTCACAGCTGTGCCCTGAATAAAGTTTCCTGCCTCGCCACACCCCAATTCTGGGATCACTGTCGGTGCTGAACTGGCACCAACGACAATGGCATTACGGTTATGTTCAATTATGAAGTCGAACACCTGCACGCTTGTAAATACCAGGGAATCTAGTCCAACGTTATACTGAAGAGAATATTTAGCACATGTCATTAGGAGACACATACAGACAACTTTATAGCAGCCCTTTTTCCAGGAGGGGAAAAACACACCCACCCACCCAGAAACTCGGCCACCCAGTCTCGATGATCTTGGTCTCCCGCCCCCGGGGTCTTCTTCGCGGTGAGGATGTACAGGGCCAGTACCACCCCCACGCCCACCCTGGCCACTGCGGTGGAGTCCAGGGACCCAGGCTCGTGGGCGTCCCGCGGGAAAAGACGAGTTCGCTCCGGAGGCTTTGGTCCTCTGAACCGCGATCCCGCGGGAAAGCCCGGAAGCCCCGCCCCCGCAGGAAGCCCCACCCACGAGCGCAAGGGGCGGGGACAGAAAAGGAGCGGAGCTCCCGGCGAAGGCCCGTGGCGGTCGTCCTCGGAGCGTAGATCCGGGAACTGTCCAGAGACCGAAAAGGGAATTTCATTAAATATCTTTCTCTGCCAGTGAGCACCAGGCAGGGGTTCCTTCCAGCCCCGCCGGTAGAGGTCTGATCCCAAGCCCCGCCTCCTCCGAGAAATACCGTTTCCGTCCTCAGCCGCTGTGGACTACAGCCCCCAGAAGGCACCGGGGCCGAGCCTCTGACTTGCGCAGTAGCGTTCGTTGTAAAGTGCTATGACAACAGGGCGGAGATGGCACGGAGTTAGGCACGAGTCGGGAGCGTCCCTTCCGCCGCCGCCGTCCTTTCCCCGCTCCTCCGCGCTCCCCGCAGCCTTCGTCGTCTCCTCCTCGTCGGGAGCGGCAGGACTCGCCGCGGTGCTCGCCCGGTCTCTTCCCTGGGATGGCCGCCGTCTCCCCTGCCCGCGGCCGGGGCTGACAGGGCAGCGATGCGGAGGGGCTCCTTGGGGTGATTCCTCCCGCTCCGCGGCACTGCCGCTGCCACCTGGGGAGGCGCGCTCCCCGCCCGGGACGCGGGACCCGTCGGCGCCGGAGCGCGGGAGGGCGCAGGGAAGCAGGGTGCCATTCGGGGCAGCCGCGGCGCTCGCCCCGGTGGTTCCAGCGCCGGACCCGGCGGGGTTCTTAAAGGGGAACCTGCGGGGCGAGAGTTCGAAGCCGGTGGGAGGCCCGCCCGTCGGCGTCAGGTGAGGGGCCGTGAATTCCCCGGCTGCGGTTCCTCTCGCGGGCCGGAACGGTCCAATGATGCCACGCGACGGTTTTGGGGGATCTAGGGCCATAGGTGTCTTAGGAAGGATGTTTGCGTTGGAAACAAAACAAAATACAACCACGAGCACAGTGTGTGTGAGTGAGGTCCTGTGAACATTTTCGAGAAGGCGGGTGGTGGTGGTAAGAATTTTTAAAGATTCCGTTCAGGAATGTCACGTGGTGCACGAGCATCCCCCC